CTTCTTATTTTTTTGGTTTCAAACAACTAGAAGTTCACGAAATTTTGTCCTTGTCCTTGTAATGGTGTTGGATGGGGTGTTATTTGGTGACCATTTTTATCATTTGGAAGTGCATGAAATGTCTTCTCTGGTAAAATAACACAGAGCCACCGGCAACTCTGTGATATTTCTTGCTCTAATTTTCAAGAACTGTACCTGCAGGGGATTCATATCTTTTTTGTTTCTTTGTGGATCCATGTACCTTGGCCTTGTGATCTTGTCTTGAGGTATGATGTCCTTATTTATAATTTTTTAATAAAGATATGCGAGTATGTTTTTTTGTAAAAATATTTTTGTCTAGGATAATGCTAGAAATGACTGACATGAGGGACTTGTTATAAGCTGATTTATATTGTACAATCTCATATGGACATTATCTCCGGTGACCTCCGCAAGTTTCGGCACTACAAGCACGCCCTCGAGGTCTCTTTCTCTCTCCCTCAATTTAAATTTCTGTTTGGTTGCTAAGAAAATGAAGAGATAAAAAAAAGAGAAGGAAGTTCTTTTTGCCCCTCTTTGGCTGTCTTCAATTAGAAGAATGGGTCTCTTTATTTTGACCTATATATTGCTTATGTATGTGAATTTTGGTTTTTTGGTCAACTATGATTGGAAGCGTGATAAGAGAATTGTTTAAATTTGTACATAAAAATTGTGCTAGGGTTTGAGTTTAATTGTGTTTTGGTCTAGGTAGAGATGACAATTTCTAGGGTTATTAAGAATTGATTAGATAAGAGAGTGTAATGAGAGAAGAGAGTGTAAAAAGAATGCTACTGATCTCTATCAATGAACTGATGATGAGTAGTTTTAGTTACTGAATGCTAAAGAATTGCAAGTACATAAGTTTATCAATTAATGTTTCATTATCTTTCCACCTTCACTCTATGGGCAAACAAACAGACCTTGAATTTTAAATTTGTTTCAGTTTTTTTATTGAAGGACTTGGGCATTTTTGCAGTGTTGTGCAACCAAAATTCAAATTGTTGTCATGGTTGACCACAAAAGATTACTTGGAATTGTACAGTAGTGTGAAACAAAAGTTGAAATATCTTTTGACTAGCAAATTTGTTGTAGTGAGGGGAAGGGAAAGGGGAAGGATTGTTTGGGTGACTTTTTTTGTCTCTTCATTTGATTGTTTGTCCACAAAATAGAACAGAGATCAGAAAAACAAGTAAAAGAAATAAACTACTTCCTCAGGTTCTATTCATATTAAGAATTTGAGAGATTTATGGAAGAAAATGATTCTTTATTTCCCTTTCTCTTTTGAAATTTTTGTTTGAAGTCTATGTGATTGTGAGTTAGATAGTTGGACAATTGGACAACAAAAATAAGAGCAGTCCAAAAACAAAGCTGGAAACTGAGAGTAAGCATATTTTGTTATTTGATTTAAAAAAGGTCAATTAATGGTGTTTGATTACAATTCTAGATTCTAGATTATTTGATTTTTTTCAACTTTTTTAACCCATAAAAATTGAGATTACTTAACTTACAATTGAAATTTTTTTCAACTTAAGAATGTGCTTGATTCTTTTAAACATGAGTAGAATAAATTTGAAATTTCAATTTAGAAGCTAAATAGTATAATGATAGTAGGAAGAAATGAGAAAAAGAGAGATAACTTTTTTTTTTGGGATACCTTTTTTTTTTTTTTTTTGTCTTCATAAATGTAGGTTTGAAGCGATGTGGTAAAAGTTGCGGGCTTAGATGGTTTAGAAGTATCGTATTGTGTGGCTCACAAGTAGAATTTTGTTCCTCTTCTCTTTTCTTCAATTATTTTTCTTCTTCATCGTCGTTTCTTTTTTTCACCTTTACATTTATAGTTTTTTGTGCAAAATAGATCCCATTTTTTTTTAATCTCTATAGGAAAGGTTAGCAGCCAAGTGTGAAATCTAGCTTGTTTTATAGGACTTTTATAAGGTCTGTTATGATTTATGGTACATAGTGTTGCGTGGTTAACATAGTCAAAAAATGCATATGCATCTAAATGCATTAAGTCGGTAACAGTAAATGCTGCAATTGATTGCTCATTGACTGAAGTCATGGAAAAAGTGTTACTTTTTCTTTTTGCAAATCCACATCATTCTATAGATCCAATTGGCACATGATGATAAGTGTGTTTGAACTTAACTCCCAGGAACATACATTTTTTTACTTTTCTGAAAGATCTAGAACCCTTTGTTTGTGATCTAAGATATTGGTTTCCGATTCAAGTCACAATTCCCCCCCCCAAAATTTTATCTCCTTTTCATATCTTTTCCATTGATTTGTTGCAATTTCATCAAAATTTCCTTGGAGACCTTTTTTGAAAACTATAAATAAATTATCTTGCACGATACAGCTTCACTAATTGGTAGAGCTGGGGATTGTACCCCCAACTCCAGTGAGCTGGGCATAAGGGCCTGACACTGGGCCACCCTAGAGGCTCATTAATGATTTGTTTTGTCTATACAGTTGGTGTGAACAGCCTCTTTGGCCTTTTTTGCCCTTCTGTTTTAAATTATTCTTTTGCATTTTTTTATATAGATAACGTCAATTCAATCCTCCTATTCTCCTTGTGTGAGTTTCTCATTTTTTGCTGCTTCAATGCTTTCTCCTACTCCCTCATAATCTCTCCTCTTGTGTCTAGAATGAATACATAGGAATTTTTTTGCATCAATTTAGCTAACTATCCAAAGCTTCATGAATTTTGTAATAGTACCATGTATTGAAAACTCAAATAGAGACTTACAGGAAGTAGGTTAGTACATCATCTAATAGTAATTTTAGAACATGCAATTGTTTCTAGCACTTTTTTGTTGTTTCCATTTCGAAATTGTTTTTGGATTTGGATCATTGTTCTTATCTGTTGTTGCAAGTAAGGAAGATGGAAGAAAAGCATGGAAATCTCCTACTGGACCATGTAAAAGTTGTTTTGGAAATCTCCCAAGCACATACATTTATTTAATGGATTTTAATGCATTTGGAGTTTTACATAAGCTATTCCAAAGACAAAAATAGAGGCATACTTCTATACTCATGTGCTTGCAAAAGTGTTTTTGTATGTGGGTTAGTGTCTAGGAGTTGTAAGTCTTATCACATGATAACAGCAATTGGCTTCTGATCTAAATTTTTATTAATAGACTTGCTTCTTGTTTTTCACACAGATGCTATGATCAAGCATTTGGAAGCAACTGTATTTGCTACCAGATTGGATATGGAGAGCTTAAACTCAAAGATGGAAGAGTTGCATGTTGGTTTGAAATTTAAGGAGGACGACATTCAATGTTTGAGAATCTCAGAAGAGACCTAGGAGAAAGAAAAGAGTGATCTTCTAAAATCTGTGCAAGTGACATTGAATGAATTGACAAAAAAAATGTAGATACCCCTCACGAGGATGGAGGACAAGGTGAGGATGAGGGACGCGAAGAAGATTTGGGAAGAGATGAAGATGATGATGATGAGGGAGATGAAGAAGAGTCGGGAACAGAAGATGTTGAAGACGGAGATGAATATTCTAAGGAGCCTTGACCTTGGCCTTTTCATTGTTTTACGATGCTTAGACTAAATTGATAGTTGAATATGTTATGGGTTTTGTGGTTGTCCCAATTTGTTTATGAACACTTTTTGCTTACTTTTGGGAGTTTAGTATGATATGTTTCGTGTATAAAAAAATTCTTATGGTTGGTGTTTTGGTGAATATGACCTCACCAAGTTGTTATTGTTTGAAATATGGTAGCATATTGTCTTTTTTTTCTTTTTCTTTTTCTTTTTCTTTGAAAATTGTCAATGAGGATAAGTTGATTGATGTTTAATGTATTGAATAGTAATTTATGAGGAGACTGTGAATGATACAATTTTTTAACTTCAAACCTTGTCATTATATTCATTTCTAATTTGGAAGCCCATAGCCTGACTAAACACTCAAGATTTTGGCTTTTGGCTTTTAGCTTTTATTTGGATTATGGCCAATGGATTGGCCAATTGATTTCTACCAAGGTAGTGCATTTTCCAATCGATTTGAAAATTGATTGGGGACCTAATAGTCAATCAATTCTTGCGAAAAAAAGTGAAAACACCAATCAATCAATCAATCATTTTGGAGCCCATGGCCATGACAAACAAAAAAAAAAAAAACATGCCAAAGTTTTTGGCTTTTAGCTTTTATTTGGATTATGGCCAATGGATTGGCCAATTGATTTCTACCAAGGCAGTGCATTTTCCAATCGATTTGAAAATTGATTGGGGACCTAATAGTCAATCAATTCTTGCGAAAAAAGTTGAAAACACCAATCAATCAATCAATCATTTTGGAGCCCATGGCCATGACAAACAAAAAAAAAAAACATGCCAAAGTTTGGCGTCCTTGTATAATTTGCTTCAATATTGTTTACAATCAAATCATAGTGAATCTATTAGGCACTAGGCATGTTCCAATCTCACAATCATTTGTGCAATCAATTGTCCTGTACTCTCGCACTATGGATGCATTTTATGCCGAATAGATTGGCATCCAAAATCAAATTTACAACCTTGGACATCAATAATCTACACATAAATGGATTACCAAAATCAAATTTACATCCACATTACATCATCCATAAATAAACCATCCAAATTACATCACGTTTATAAAAAAAGAATAGTCACTAGTCACGTTTATAAAATTTATTTTTCATTTTTTTTTTGTGGCGACTAAATATTTGGTAGCCAAAATTTTGGCTACCAAATATTTAGTCGCCAAAAAAACCTTGATTTCCTTTTGACTACCAATTTGGTTCGTCGTCAACAACTTCACTTCTTTTTGGCTACTAAATGTTTAGTCACCAAAAACTTTCTTCAGTTTTATTTTATATTAATTTCACCCTATATTTATTCTATGCAACCTATACCCTGTACAAAAACAAAATAATAACAATCTAAGAAAATTTTAGTTTTAATGTCAAATTCGAAATATAATAGAAATTCCATACAAACCAAGCATAATCTAACTTAAAATAATAATTCTATACAAAACAAAGGATTATACAAAAACTATGTCTTTCGAACACAAAAAAAGAAATATCCACAATACCATGTCAAGTAATTTGTACCACGCCAAATGTAATAAGTTCTATGACAAAACTAATTTGTACGACGCCAATAGTTATCTGTACAAACAATAGTAATTCACAAAAAAACAAAGGAAACATAATAACATATTATAAAAAAGAGCAATGTCCTCCGCACACAAATAAAGAATATTCACATTTCCACGCCAAAAACCATCTGTAAAAATAAAATTAACCATTAGTATTGATTGAATAACATTATCATTTCAAATTATAAAAGAAAATTATATAAAACCCGAATGTATATAATGTTTTCAAAATTGTATAATTATAGTTGTAATCGTATGTTACATGTCCAAACAAGTTTCTCCCAAGTTTTCCCCTCCCGAAATGCAATTTTTCAGTTTAGTTTAAGGTAATTTCAACTTTAACTCCCAACCTATGTCTCCTACTCCCAAGTTTTCCCCTCCCGGGGGCTGTTTTGAATTTTCGCCCTCATAACGTCCTTTTTCGACTAAGTTTAAGGCGTTTTCGCCTCTAACTCCCCAACCTATGGGTCCGAATTACATTTCGTCTATTGTCACAGGTCTTATTTTTCATGGGGAAGCTGTCCGTGAGAGCAACACGGTGGTTCGGGGGCAGTTTTGAATTTTTGCCCCTGGAACGCCCTCTTTCGACTAAGTTTAAGGCGTATTCTGCTCTAACTCCTAACCTATGAGCCCGAATTACATGCCGTTAGTTGTCACAAGTCCTATTTGTCAAGAGGAAGTTGTCCGTGAGAGCCACACAATGGTTCGGGGGCTGTTTTGAATTTTTGACCCTAAAACGCCCTTTTTCGACTAAGTTTAAGGCGTTTTTGGGTCTAACTCCAAGCCTACACATCCTAATTACATTCAGTCAGTTGTCACAAGTCCTATTTTTCAAGGGAAAGCTGTCCGTGATAGCCACATGGTGGTTTTGGGGTTGTTTTGAATTTTTGACCCCGAAACGCCCTTTTTCGACTAAGGCCAAGTTTGGCAACCCAAAAATAATCCATCTTTTTATCTTTTTTTCATCACATCACCTCTCTACTTTTCTGCACATCTTTTCGTAAAAAGACAAAAAGTGCACTTGTTTAGGTCATCCCAAACAACCCCTAAGTTTAAGGCATTTTCGAGTCTAACTCCAAGCCTACGTGTCCTAATTACATTCCGACAGTTGTCACAAGTCTTATTTGTCAAGGGGAAGCTGTCCATGAGATCCACATGGTGGTTAGGGGCCTGTTTTGAATTTTCGCCCCCGGAACGCCCTCTTTCGACTAAGTTATAAGGCATTTTCGGGTCTAACTCTAAGCCTACGCGTCCTAATTACATTTCGACAGCTGTCACAAGTCCTATTTGTCAAGAGGAAGCTGTCTGTTAGATCCACACGGGGGTTTGGGGGCCGTTTTGAATTTTTGCCCCTGGAACGCCCTCTTACGACTAAGTGTAAGGCGTATTCGGCTCTAACTCCCAACCTATGGGCCCGAATTACATGCCGTCAGTTGTCAGAAGTCGTATTTGTCAAGGGGAAGCTGTTCGTGAGAGTGACACGGTGGTTCGGGGGTGTTTTGCATTTTCGACCCCAAAATGCCCTTTCTCGACTAAGTTTAAAGCGTTTTCGAGTTTAACTCCAAGCCTACGCGTCCTAATTACATTCCTTCAGTTGTTACAAGTCCTATTTGTCAAGGGAAAGCAGTCCGTGAGAGCCACATGATGGTTCGGGAGCCATTTTAAATTTTCGACCCCGAAATGCCCTTTTCGACTAAGTTTAAGGCGTTTTTGGGTCTAACTCCAAACCTACGCGTCCTAATTACATTCCGTCAGTTGTCACAAGTCCTATTTGTCAAGAGGAAGCCATTTGTGACAGCCACACGGTGGTTCTGGGGCTGTTTTGAATTTTCGACCCCGAAACGCCTATTTTCAACTAAGTTTAAGGCATTTTCGGGTCTAACTCCAAGTCTACGCATCCTAATTACATTTCGACCATTGGTACAAGTCCTATTTGTCAAAGGAAAGCTGTCCGTGAGAGCGACACGGTGGTTCGGGGGCTGTTTTGAATTTTCGCCCCCGGAACGCCCTTTTTCAACTAAGTTTAAGGCATATTCGGCTCTAACTCCCAACCTATGGGTCCGAATTACATGCCGTCAATTGTCAGAAGTCCTATTTGTCAAGGGGAAGCTGTCCGTGAGAGTCACACGGTGGTTCGGGGGCTGTTTTGAATTTTTGACCCCGAAACGCCATTTTTCGACTAAGTTTAAGGCGTTTTCGAGTCTAACTCCAAGCCTACACGTCCTAATTACATTCCTTCAGTTGTCACAAGTCCTATTTGTCAAGGGGAAGCTGTCCGTGAGAGCCACACGGTGGTTCAGGGGCTATTTTGAATTTTCAACCCCAAAATGCCCTTTTTGACTAAGTTTAATGCGTTTTCGGGTCTAACTTCAAGCCTATGCATCCTAATTATATTTCGTCAGTTGTCACAAGTCCTATTTGTCAAGGGAAAGCTGTCCATGATAGCCACACGGTGGTTCTGGGGCTGTTTTGAATTTTCGACCTTGAAACGCCCATTTTCGACTAAGTTTAAGGCATTTTTGGGTCCAACTCCAAGTCTACGCGTCCTAATTACATTCCAACCATTGGTACAAGTCCTATTTGTCAAGGGAAAAATGTCCGTGAGAGCCACACAGTGGTTCGGGGGCTGTTTCGAATTTTCGTCCCTGAAACACCCTTTTTCAACTAAGTTTAAGGTGTATTCGGCTCTAACTCCCAACCTATGGGTCCGAATTACATGCCGTCAATTGTCACAAGTTCTATTTGTCAAGGGGAAGCTATCTGTGAGGGCCACACAGTGGTTCGGGGGTTGTTTTGAATTTTTGACCCCGAAACGTCCTTTTTTGACTACATTTAAGGCGTTTTCGGGTCTAACTCCAAGCCTACACGTCCTAATTACATTCCGTCAATTGTCACAAGTCCTATTTGTCAAGGGGAAGCTATTTATGGGTCCGTATCAGATTTGATAGCACAAAAGCAACAACACTAACCTTGAAGTTTATTAAGTCACCAATTGGAGATCAATGAAAGCATTGAAGAATCTGAAACTGCATGATGTCTTGAGGTACTAGGCAGAGGATCAAATTTCAGGTTTTTATATGTAATACAACAAGAAACCATTGTATTCACTAACTGAGCCATATCGTTCTTCTCTTTCTCTGATAGTAAGTGCACTGCCACCTGAAGAAAAAGACAGCATACTGTTTCAGACCATATCATTAAGAAAATCCAAAGTTTTTCATCATTCTAAAAAGAAAGAAAGAAAGAAAACAAGAGAAAGCCAGTAAGTAAAGAATGTGTATATAGACTAATTTGAGTGATGGAATGTGCATAGATTGATTTCCTTCTAGTATCTCTGCTTTCATGTAGGCCCTCTTTTGGGGTGCTTAGTTGAGACAAAATGCTTGTTTTTTGCTTTGTGTATGGGTTGCATCCCCTTTTCCAAGTCCCTTTCACACAATTCCATCCAACCTTCTTTTAGTCTCAAACATTTTATACATGTATTTAGTTTTATCATAATAAATGGCACTGCAATCAGAGTTTTGCTAAAATTCCAAACCAATATCAAGGACTCACATCAGACGGAATTCAAACAACAAATTCAAACAATTCAAACAACTCAACACAGCGATGAACAACAGCGTCGTTTGAATTGCAGTAAGGAAAATTGCCCCTGTATTCCAGTCAGTAAATTTTCTATCAGCGTAGCAATTTTAATTTTCGACAAAATTCTTCATTTAGTAAATCATAATGTAACAGAGGCAGAAAGGGGAGGGGAAAAGGAAACTTCAAAATATAAATTTAACGGGAGGGGATGCTCTCATATATGATAAGATGAGCACAAATGGACTTTTCTATCACATATCCAATGAGATATATATGTAATGCATACATGCATGTGCATGTGTGTTTTTATGGGCCTCTTATTTGTAGATTATGAGAATTTCTACCCAAATAATAAGAAAGAAGCACCGAAAGGGGATGAGCAAAAATCAGAGTCAAAAGGTGAGTTAGTAATTTTTTATTTACAATTTATTCCATGTGAATTGTGGATTCAGTGTTGTATTCTTGTCATTGATGGCAATGTTGGTGAACTAATCTTCCATTTGGTTGTTAAGAAAAAATGGGAAAGAGATTGTACCGGAAAAAAAAAAAAAAAGAGAGAGAGAGAGAAAGAAGGGGAGAGTGCAAGAAATAGGTATGTCTTGATATCTACACATAACATAACATGTGCAAAACCCACTATACTTTTCTCATACATGATAATATGAGCACAAATGGAATTTTCTCATGTATGTTTTGCCCGCGAAAGTAGGTAGATGAAAAACTATGCAAGCTTTGTCAATTAAATTTTTAAGGCCAATTGTAATATCTGAAAGAATATAATGCATACACATGTATTTCAGCACCTAAGGCTAAGGCATTGTTCCTTTGAAGAGTCAATAATCGAAAGTTCCAAAATAAGTAAAATCAACCTGCTAAATCTCAAATGAAACTAAAAAGCTTAGCAATCAAATGCTTTTCCATTACAAAACATCTAACTCTGAATACATTTAAAAAAAAAAAAAAAACAGAGCATGAAAATGGTTAAAAAAAACAACCCAATGGAACAAACACCCAACGATTAGCAGTTCAAAAAACTATTAGAATCTGAACCCAACAGATTCATAAAATAAATTAGGGAAAAACTTATTATTGCTTTGTTTAAAAGCAATCAACTTGGAAATCACCGTAATGAACCAAAAAAATTCTTAGAATCTGAAGCCAACAGATTCTAAGTTTCATTAGCAATCAAATACTTTTCCATTACAAAAAATCAAACTTTGAACACAAAATTTAATATATATATATATATATATGAGAGCACAAATGGACTTTTTGTCACATATCCAATGAGATATATATGGAATGCATGCATGCATGCGCATGTGTGTTTTGCCCACGAAAGTAGGCAGATGAAAACTATGCAAGCTTTGTCCATTAAATTTTTAAGGCCAATCGTAATATCTAAAAGAATATAATGCATACACATGTATTATCAACTTCAATACCAGTTTCTGTAATCAGAAGATCCATGGTCTCCTTGCCTACAAGCTCAAGCACTTGCATTCGCTTTGCAGTAAAAGCTTTTCCACTCTATAAAACAATGGCACATAAACAAGTGATGCACTATTTAAATTTTCAGAAATAAGCAATCCTCTCTACCGGATCCTCAAGATACATGAAGCTTTCCTCTATAACTAATGCACTATTTAAAATAACAAGCACATAATCAAAACAACAATATCACGTGTGTGTGCATGTATATGTATATCCATCTATGTACAAGTAAATTATATGTCACAATCAAATTCTGCATGAGGAAAGCACGTGGGAAGTGATACACACCAGATTTCAGCACCAACCATGTTAAGGGCACCCTTTTTCAACTGTCACCAGTCTACTTGTGTTCCGAACTGAAGCATTGATTATGGTCCTATCTAGTGGCCTAATTGAGCGAAGATTTATAACCTGTTTAAACAGTAAACCAACACTACCATATTTAAAACTAATACTTGAATTGATTTTAGGTCTTACACCAACACTACCATATTCTTTTAATGTATTTTATACCTTAGCACTAATCCCTTCCTTCGCAAGAATCTCAGCTGCCTGAACATCACACAACACAGTTACATTTAAAAGGGGGGCACAAAATTTACTAATTGTAACCAAAGGCAATATAAACGAGAATTTGAAAGATATACAATGTCAACAAACAACAATGATCACTAATGTTCTCCTCGAAAATGAATACAAAAGTGTTTACTGAGGAACTACAGCAATACTATATAAGAATGCTTAGCTGCAGTTCAAAGTAATTCCATCCACAAAGCTAAAAGCAATGTCACAATATCATAGAGACTAATTCAAGTCTTAAAACTCTGTATTCCGTGTGGTAGTGACAGTCAAAACGACTATACCTTGTAGAACGTAGGCTAATTACTAGTTAGCATACCATACCAAATACAGAGATGCTCCTGAAATTTTGCAAGTTCAAACTATAACTTCATTTTCTCAACTTAAGATCACTTTTTGTGCAAAAGCACTGTCCTTCCATGGAACAAGCAATGTTAGGTTATATATCTAAATGACAAAGATCACATGACAAACCTTAATGGCATAGCCCACCATCCTTGAAAAGGTTGTAATCATGACATCCTTTCCTTCTCTCTCAACCTAGGACACAGAAGGTAATAAATTTTAAATAACAACAATAGTGAATCATGATAAAATAAATAACACAACACAACAGACACAGCCACGGAAACTATCATAATCTTAAGGAAAAATACCTTAGCTTTCCCTATTGGGAGGCAAAAACTGGAATCAAGAACTTCTGCCAAAATAGGGCTCACCATATCTGAAGCACAAAAGTCACATTGGATAATAATAATGATATATACGGATAAGGTTGATATATTACAACTTAATGCTGCACTATGTACTCACAACAACTCATTTTCAAGGAAAACTACAGGATCAGGGTCTCTAATGGTAGCTTTTAGCAGTCCACAAGCATCTTCAGATGAGTATGGGGCCAGCACTTTCAACCCAGGACAGGCGCCATACTACGCTGCGAAAAACTACATGACATTCCATATATGTCATCAATGGTTATGTTTGTCGCTGATTTAGAACTTTATCATTGAAAGCATATTTGAGATTAGTAATGAAGAAACTCAATATGTTCACAACAAGAAACGATACTGTGTAAATCAAATATTAGACTTGGAGGTACTCAAACCTTAAACCTAATAAATACCTAGTGAAAATGAAGAAGGAAAAAAAGAAATCTAACATTCTCCCTATTGACAACTGGCAGGTTGAAACTTATTGATATAACTATTTGCAACCGTCCAAATTGGACACTAATTTAATACTCTTCAATTATTATCTATACATAGTGCTTTAGAGATGTAGTTACTATATATCTCTCATATTACCTTAAGGCTAAAGGCAATGATGCTTAATAACGTGTCATTTGTTTAGAAAACAACCAAGCGAGTAAAGAAGCTTGAGGAACCATACCTGGGAGTGTTGGGCACCTACACCAGCAGCAGCACCATTTGGTCCCCAAAAAACAATGGGTACATTTATCTAGCCACCAAAAATGTAATTTGATTTTGCAGCAGAATTAATGATGTGGTCAATTGCCTACAACAAAATGAAGATTGAGATCCCTTGGAGACATTAACTGCGAAAGAAAGGTGCCCAACAAAATATAAAGAGAAACTCATATGCAACAAGAGCTGAGATACAAGATTTGAAATTAATTAGCTATTAGTTAAAGCTCCAAAGTAAGTTTGACCATCGCAACCAAGTAAAACAAATATAAATAGAATATCAGAAATTTTCTCTTCGTAAGGTATTGGGGATGACAAAAATATAAAACAACTCTAACCTACATTGAAAAATTAAACATCATAAACTCCACAATGGGCCTAAGACCATAATAAGCAACACCTACTCCAATGCCTACAAATCCAGCCTGCAAAACAAGCATTTATACATGAGACAAAAGAATTATGGAAAAACAAAAAGCATATGTATATACACACACAAAAGTCAATCATCATTGTAGAAATTCAAGAATTCAAATCAGCAAGTTCACCTAACAAGAGAGAATGAAAATAATTTGGTAAATTAAGCATGGAAATTAACAAAAGGACCAAGCCATAACAAGTCTAATAATAGGTCTCACCTTTGTGATTGGATTATCAACAACCCTGTCGGCTCCATACTTCTCCAAGAGCCCTTTGGAAATCTATACAAAGGTAGTATAAATTGACGGTTATATGACCATGGACATCTATATTCTTAATAGAGAGAGAGAGAGAGAGAGAGAGAGAGAGAGATTTAACCTTGTATGCACCTTGGTACTCCCCAACCTGCAAAAAGAAAATGGCACATAAGGAAATAACAAAGTGAAATCTTATTAAAAAGTCACAAAATTTGAGAAGCTACTAAAATAGCATCCTTTTTGTCTTTTTTATATTTTTTGGGTCATATCACCTCTCTACGTTTTTTGCACATACTTTCGTAAAAAGTCAAAAAGTTATTAAAATAGCATATTCCCAATCACAATTCCCAATCGGAGGTAGAACTAGTGCCCCATTTTAATTTTTAACTTAGAAAAAGAATGAGATAGAAATCTAAGGACAGGCAAAAAAAAAAAAAAAGTCAAGCCTAAATCAGTACAGAGTCCATCCTTCCATAATCATGGGTTCATGAGACCAACACAAGTTTAGGGAGAGAGAATTTAAAGGACGAATGACCTTTGTAAACAAATATGGAGGGTATGAATAAGGAAATTGTGCACCTCTAAAATCCAAGAAAAGACAAACCCAAGATACAATTTATTTAAATTCTCATATTTGTGACATGCCTAGCCAAGGATTGTATCTTCACTAACCTTCTCCAATTTATCCAAAGCAACCTTATGCTGTTTATCATTCTCATCTTCACTTCTCCTTGAACTGCAGATCCTTCCATATCATCCTCCTTCGAAGATTCTGAGTCCTCCTCAACCACATTCTGCATATCCACAATGCTAATTGCTGCAATCTTAGCAGCCTCAACAACCTGCAGCATGAAACCATAACATAACAAGGTTGCAAATAATGTACCAACGACATCATGCAGCATAGCACTGAATGTTAGGAAAATAACACATGGACATTCGAGAACCATGTTTATGTATTGTCTCCCTCAATTTAGATTGAAAAGCATAATTGTCTATTTTGTAAAAACCAGCAAATGAAAAATGAAAAAACCAACAAATGCAAAAATAAAAAATGAAAAATGAAATAACCAGATCATCTCAAGTATTCATAAGATACTCATAAAGCCTAATACACATGATTTTAATTCTGAACTTGTTTTCATTGTGACATGCATTGTGACCAGTCTTAGCAATTTTGACTACAACAAACAATTCAGAAATTCTTGAGGCTGGATACTTCTCGCACAATTATGAGGCAGATCTTGAGTAGAGTGCCGAGCGTAATGAAGCATGTGAAGGCAAAGGGCTTGGACAATGTGTTCTATGAATCAGTAGAGCAAGCACTACAGAAATATGAGAATTTCAAGAGAAAGGTAACTGTCATTCAAGACTTGCGTGAAATGACAGGTAAGGTTCTCCATTTCTACAAAGGAGATTTTCTTGATGAATTGCCTGGGCTTGTTGACTTTACTGTATTTCTTCACCTCAGCCCTAGATAGAAGCGTGAAGTTGAAGAACTAAAGAACTTAGTTAGGAAGTTCAAAATCAGCTCGGATTGGAGTGTGCGCCGAAAGTTTTGTTTTTCTCGTGAGCCTTTAGTGTTTTTTGAGCAAAATGGATGGGAAATAGTTCCGACATGAAGACAAATATCTCCTTGAAGCATATTGTCTTCTCTTTCATTTTTAAATCTTATTATGTGAATGGTGAACCTTATAAATTTGAAACTAAGGTTTTTGCTCCTCTGAAATTAAGGCATCAAGAGGTTAAGTATTTGTAACATCCAAATAGAGGTTTATATGAAGGAAAAAATTTCAGCATTTCAAGTATTTTGTTCTCAACAAAAACCACAACAACACACACAGATAGGAGTTACAGCGTGAGCTGATCAACAAATTAGGAAAAATACACTGGTTCATAAAATAAAAAAATAAAAACAGTTGAAATTAAGGCATCAAGAGGTTAAGTATTTGTAACATCGGAATAAAGGCTTACAGGAAGAAAAAAAAATTCAACATTTCAAGTATTTTGTTCTCAACAAACACCACCACAACCCACACACAGGGGTTACAACGTGAGCATGATCAAAACTAACAGCCAATCCATGAATCTACACAATTTCTCACAAAAACAGTTTCTCCATATGTAGCATCATATCATTTTGACCATTTGCATTATACAGCATGATCAAAACTAACGGCTAAGAAAGTACTCTAAGATTATGGAATGCAATGTGATTAGTGAGACAAGAAAGTCCTTTTAGGCAGTTTTATGAGGGCCTACAAAAATTTATCAGATCGGAATACGATTGACGAAAGAAAAAGAACAGTCGCCCCTTTCACGTAGGGGGCATTATCAGAACAAAAATGTCCATGTGACTAATTAACAAATGTGTCTGCTATTACCACTAATTCAGCTATATTTCTATACAATTTATACCAAAGGGTTCAAGTAAACTGCTGTACAATTCTTTGTGATCTGTTTTTTAATATTATTATGTCAATTCTTATCTTTGGGTGATGGGTTATATTACCAGTGTTCCTTCAGTGATTTGATTATCATCTGAAGAATCAGAGGGTTGAGATTTGGGTTTACTCATGATCCGAGAGTATCCATAATCGAGACAGCTTCCACTTGCTTCAGAGAGCTGCATGCAATATTTGATTGTGGTAACTCAGTCAAAATATATATATATATATGTATGTATATCTTTGGGCCTATACTAACAAGACTAACCGAATTGTGGAAAGCTCAAAAAGATGGCGGGACCTAAACTCGTTGATAGTAGCTACTATTTGTGACATGAGCAGTTTAGCCTAACAGAGAAAAACAAGATAAAGAACATTCGAAAGATGCCAAACCAAAATAACCAAGCTTATATAATGTTTTTGACTTTCCATAGCACATGCTAACAATTTCACAAGAAAGCATCAACCAACAACAGTAACAAGAGTTTGAGTTGCTGCATTGCAGCTGGTGGACCGACAAAATCAGATCCAAATGCCTTCAGTTTTCAATGTGTTAACCGAGTCAAATGCGTCTGTGTGTGTGTGTGTGTGTCACGTGAAAGTGAAATTATGTCGTATAAATCACAAAACACTTCGGAGAAACAACAGCCGCTTCTACTTTTCAATCAAAGAACCAGCATGGACATAAAACAGGTGCTCAATAATGAAAACGATGTACACAAATAGTTGAATTGAGACTCAAGGTAAGCATGTAGCAAGTCACTAATTCAAATTAAAATATCCAATAAGATGCACTGTAATCATTAAGATTGTACCAAAAAGCGATTAATCTTACAGTGATTTTATGGAATGTTAATCCAAAAATTGATCAATTACATTGCATACTAGCATAGCATGGTGAGTGACAAATTCAATGGAAATAATATTCAGCTTCCTTATGATTTGTTACAATCAGACTCCACACTACATGCATGCAACCAATTTCTGATGCTCAGCAGAAAAAAGAAAATAGTATTCGGCAATATAACTAACGGAGTATGTACTAATTACAAACAACATACAAAGCTCATGCAGTGAAAAATCTTATACAATTCAGTGTCATCGATACTATTTTTTACCTGTGCAAGAATAGCAGCAGCTAGTTGGAGACTAGGTTCGAAGGTCTCGGGGACAACCTGTAAGAGTTTCAACTAAAACTCAAGATATGATGTAATTTGAACAAATATTTGATCTTTATATAGCTAATGCAAGATATATTAGTACTGATTAAAGATTTATACACAAGTCAAACAAGAATAATGAGCTCCTAAAACATAATCCTAAAATAAAATTGTAAGATTAACCTATATAGGCAATTAGGAAGAGTGAAATAACTAATGAAAACAGCAACATAAATGTAACGTTGTTGCTCCCACCTTTTCCAAATTGAGGCCATGATCAACGTCATGAGCACGGACAAATGTCTTGACATTAGGGAAATACTTGCTCAAAGCCCACACTATTCTATAGTTTGCACCGGGGGTATCTAAAGTTATTGCTGCTGCACATGCTCTTTCAGCACCAACTTTATGGAGCACCTGGTGGCCACGAATACAAGCAACATGTCAAACAATGAACCTGCACAAAGCATATTTAAGTTTGAGCAGGATCATCTATACCTCTCGACTACCAGCATCACCAAAGTACACGGGAAGATCAAGTGCACGAC